GAAAGAGGCCTTGAGACTTTTTTTAAAATTTTATTTTTAAGGTAAGGTCACATTTTCATGTGTGGAAGAGGTGCAGAGGCAGCGATAACCAACGAACCTCAGAGGCTGTGCTCAAGCAGTGTAGCCTAGTGGAAATTTCCAGCTGGGACACAAATACCACACCGAAAGGTAAACAATGATAACTGCAACGTCCCCTGGCTGCTCAGAAACGGCTTACTGGCCCAGCCTGAGCTCCCACTTGGGCAGCAGGAGCAGGCACTGCTTGCATTTGCCCTGCCCTGCCTCACCTAGAAATACTGGGACCCTATCTTTACAAACAAAGACAATAAACCTTTTTTTTCCCTGCTCTCCCCTTCTCTCGATGCCTGCCATTGGAGGTGATGGCCACCTGTGCAGGCTCCAGTTGTGGCTGCAGATGTGATGCTACCATGGCAGCCCCAGCTGCACCTCTCTGGTGTGTGACCTGGCTTTTATTCTGGTTTTAGCCAAGTCTACAACAGCAGCATGATTTATTCAGGTCATCAGCACTACGCTACGGGGGTTTTGGGTTGTGTGTAGGGACGTTCAGGCCATGAAAAACATTGCCATGGAACTTTTACTGTTTGTAGGGCTTGGTGCAAACCCTGATGGAGCTTGATCATAGCCTTAATCTTAAATGGAGCAGTCGGGGGACTAAGCTTCCTGGAAAAAAGGATTAGTTTGCATTTCATTTCTGCTGGTTTCTACCCAGGAAACCTGTTGCTGCCTAACAGGAGATGATTTGTACCAAGAATCTGGTTAAATCCTCTGTTGTGGTGTCCTCCTCGGGTGGGAGTCCAGCCTGCAAGCCCCAGATGTCTGCTTTCCCCCTCTCGGAGGGAGCAGGCACAGCCTGCTTTGCTGAGCATGAAATGGAGGGATCTAAACAGGAGAAATTAATGAAAGCAGAAATTTGGGCAGAGCCTGCTGGGAAGCCACATTCTGACAGCTAATCTGTGTTCGTTGATGTTGCCCGCTTCCTTCAGTGGTCAGTTTTGGACCAAGAGAGTGGGCCTGGGACCACGGAGCCCTCATGGGTATGGTTCTGCCCTGCTCTCAATAATGTCACTTACTGAGTTGAAATGATAAGCTCCTCCTAGGAGATTTTTAATGTCAAAAGTACTTGGGACTGTAAAGGCCAGGAGGTCTTAGGTCATGACAGTGCTACTGAGGATTCAAAAGGCATGTAATTACCAGTGCAGCGAACAAGCTAGTTGTCAGCAGCACAGCATCCCCAAAACCTGATGGCAAATTGGAGGCATCCATGCCCATTTTCCACTTGGGGAGCAGACTGACAAGTTTGGATGAGAGGCAGGTGGCTGGTGAACACACACATGGCTCGCTGCCTGGCCATGCATGCAGCACAAGGAGAGCCTTGTGCTGTCAAAGATAAATGGGTATGACAACCAAAGGATCAGAAAAAAGCCAAATGCTTAAACAGCGTTTAAAATGCCAAGACACGTTAAAGGGAGAGGGTTGAAGTGGAGACTCGGGGCTGCCACATTGCTGCTGCAAGGCAAGGCTTGTTGAAATACCCCTGTGTGGAAGATCACTGATGGCCAGAGAGACCAAAGAGGGAGAAGGCAGCAAAGGAGTTGCTCCACGATGAAGTGATGCTGCTGGACACATCTTGTTGGAGATTTCATCCAGCTCTCCCATCACTCAAGGCACAACTAAGTTTGTCTGCCTGGCCAGCCTAAGAAAAGTGGCAAGAAGGGAATGAAGACCTAACTAACTGTGATATTTAGCGATATACCCAAACTCTCTCTTTGTGGAGATCTGCACGAGCACCCAGTAGTGAAGGCAGAATGATGCAATGCTTCCCTGGCAAGCAGTGCTGAGGTAGGCAGCGCCCTGTGCTACTCTGGTATCTGTATTTTGTGTAGATACAATTCTGGACTTGCTTCCACAGAGGTCCCTGGTCGGCACTAAACTTTCAACCTGTAGAGAATCTGTGAAAGATCCAGGCCTTTTTGCTGCTAGCCTGCTGCCTCTTTTGAGGTGGCCATTGTGTTGGTCAAACAACCAGTTGAGAACACGCAACACGTTACTGGCTGCTTGGGTCTTATCAGGCTAGCATAAGGTCAGAGCCCTTCCTCCAGGCTGGCTCTGGTGGGACACATGCATCAAGGAGGGTACACTCAGAAAGGGAGAGCTGTGGCAGCACTGAAGTTTGTGCTGAAGATGCCAAGAAGTTGCACTGAAGGCAGCAAAACCAGGATAAAATGGCACATGTAGCATGAGAAGCCTTTGTCTTGGAGGCTGGAGCAGCTGGGTGATTTGTAGCTGGACAACGAGCCTTCAAAAGGCTCAGCTGCTTTCCATGGGTAACTAACTCCTTCACAGCCTTCTCTCAGTTTAACATGCCAGGATGAGATCATGGGCGTGGGTGTCTTGGGGCAGAGTGAAATACTTGAGATCAAAGCACCAGTAAGATGTCCAAGATGCACTTGGAGCTGGTGGGAGTCAATGCTACCCCGTAGGGTGGGTCAGGCTGCAAAAGCAACCTGCAGAATCTTTGTAAATGCCTCCGGCTGTGGGCGGGCTATAGCTGAAGAGCCCCCACAGATCAGAGCCTGTGCGCTGTCACCTCCAAAAGTGACAAAGCAGGGTGCAAAGATGGATGCAGCACCCCAAAGATGCCTTTGGCTGTGAGGGCTCAGCAGCAGAGCCACAGCAGCTGAATCCTCCTATGCTGGCTCAATGGATTTAATCAAAACCCAATCTGTTGGTCATTTATTTGCAAGGGATGATGCCCTCAGACGTGTCTTACTGCCTGCTCCTGGCAGGGGAGCAGGTGCCTGGGGTGCTGCTTGGAAGCAGACACAGCTTGATTGTAGTAGTAGTGCAGATTCCCCCTCCACTTTTTCCCCTCTGCTTGAAGCAGAGAGGATGACCTGCTTCCCTCTGACCTGTGCCCCTTCCCTGTCCAACACAAAAATAAGTGCACCGGTCGGGATGCGTTTGTGGTTGGCTGGCACTTGCTGAGCCATGCAGGATCTCAGCCAACTGCCGGGTGCTGCAGGAGGTGCTGAGGCAGAGTTCACTGGGCAGACAGGTGGCATAAAATTACTTTATTGATTCGCTGCAGCTAGATATGCTCCAGACAGCAAGCGATGTTGCACAAGGAATTAATTACACCAGCAATAGCCCGCTTCCTCTGGCCATTCCTATTGGAGCCATTTTCTTCACTTGCATCGCAACAAATGAGAAAACGGGGACAATGGTCTGCAGGACGCTCAGGAGAAGATAAGGTAGCGCAGCGAGGGCAGAACAGCACTGCCTGCCTGTGTCGGTGCCCAGCCTACCCTTGAAACAGCTGAATTAGGAAAGACCCCGAGCCCCCTAGCACTGCAGCTTGGTGTGCAGCAGCAGGGTGTGCAACGCCCCAGATGCTGCAGGCATGTGTGGAAAGGCTGTCCTGCCCCAAAATGCTCTCCCCCAGTGAAAGGGCACTGCTGTGAAGTCAAGGCTTGCCCTTCTCTGCTCCTCATCCATCCTCTCCAAAATAGAGGCTGCGGAAGAGCACTCCTCATCCTAGATGCATTCATTGGGTTGCCATGTAAAAGACTTTCACGGAGACATGTTTCTACTCCACATCTACTCCGCAGGTGAAGGTGCAGAGCTGAGAGCGGTGAGCCCTCACCTGGGATGAGGCAGGAGGGATCAGCATCCTACTTGCCCCGCCAAGGTCTTTGCCATTCTACTTCCTTTGCGGTATCAGGCCTTATAAAAGATGCTATTTTCCTGCCTAGCACGCAGGGGAGCACTGCTGCCCTTAGAGCTTCACTAGAAGAGAGAGCCCCATCAACCCAGACCTCCTCGCATTTATGCAGAAGTGCTCCTCTGCCCATTCCCATCATCACTTCAATCTTCAACCATTTCTCAACACAGAGGGGCCTACAAGGACATGACCTCTGGGTAGGATGGACATAGAATTTTACTTAAGGAAATACTATTTTACTTAAATAAATAAATAAATGAAAAATTCACTTACGTGATCAAATACCTTCTGAATTTCAGCATGGTGAGCTGGAGCTTTGGTTGGGGAGCGGGTGGTTATCGTCAGACTGGGAGAATGGAAAGCAAACACCCGGAGCCTGGCTTGTGTGCCTGCGGCCGGTGGCTCCTCCCCGGGGGTGCGCCTGGGATGGTGAGCCCACAGTGGACCTTCCCACCAGTGCCCTGCTCTCCAGCACCTGCTCCAGGGAGTGATCAGACTCCGCTCCAGTGAGTGGGACATTTACACGGCCACAGCCTTGAGAGCTGCTGGCAGCAGGCTGCCTTCTGCAAACTGCTGCCACATCATATAGAGCAGTGGGCAGGCTGTCTGGGCACTTGTGGACATGTTTGCATCCCTGCCTTACTCCTTGCTTTCACCCATGGCTGTTGATGTTCCACTTTGACCCCTTGTGTCCTCCTGCTCTGCTCTTTGTGGTTGTCCCTTATTTTCCCTTCTCGTGTCCTGCTTTTACTTCTTGACAAAGCTGAAGACAGAGATGTTTTGGTCATGAGTGTTTAGCTTCTAATAATCCCTATGTTGATACAGTCTTCAGGTCTGTGCAGGCTGAGTCACACCAGCATGGCATGGAGCTAATCCTCTCCAACACAGCCTGGCTCCATTCACCCTG